TGATCACGAGGTCTTTTTCCTGCACAAACACTAGGTAGGTTAGAACCACCAATCTTTCAGTTAGCAGTTGAATTATTGACTGTTTTGCCACCAGGGCTCAGTTATGTTAGTACCAAAAAATAAAACCAAACCTATTGCCAGTGAGTTGATTGCAACCTATAGAGTCCCTATAGGACAGAGTGGAACTGCTCCATAGGATATAGGATTTCCAAGGCTGTAAATCTTTATGGAGCCAGACTCTTTCTCACCCAGAATGGTTATTGATGTTAGTTGTTGTTGATGTTATGTGCCATTGAGTTGGCCCCAACTCATAGCAACCCTTCCTTGGGTTGCTGAGGCAGTATCACTACGGAAGTTGATTGCCCAGTCTTCCTTCCGAGGAGTGGCTGGTGGGTTTGAACTGCCAGCCTTAGTAGTGGTGCTATATTTAGAATCATTTTGACCTCTAATGTATGTGACTATGTAGTAAGAAGACCAAGGAACTCTGGTGTCTTGGTGGTTAAAGCACTCATCTGCTAACCAAAAGGTTGGTGATTCGAACTCACCAATGGCTTTGTGGGAGAAAGATGAGGAAGTCAGCGTCCATAAAGATTTACAACTTTGGAAATCCTATGGGGCAGTTCTACCCTGTCCTGCAGGGTCCCTATAAATTCGAATGGATTCAACAGCAGTGGGTTGGTAGTAAGCCCACCATCCGTTTGTCACTTTCTTGTACTGTGGTGGCTTGCATATTGCTGTAATGTTGGAAGCTATTCCATTAGTATTTGAAATACCAGCAAGGTCAGCCATAGAGGACAGTTTTCAGTGGATCCTCCAGACTGAGACAGAACAGAGAGAAAGGCCTGGCATTCTAATTTTGACAATGACACCCTATGGATCACAACAGAATATTGTCTGATATTGTGCTGGAAGATGAACAGCCTAGGTTAAGGGCACACAAAAGAGATAGTGACTGCAACAATGGACTTGAGCATACTAACAGCTATGAAGATGGTGCAGGACCAGGTAACATTTCATTACGTTCTACATGAGTTGAGAGGAATCAGAGCTGACTTGATGGCAACTAACAATAGCAATATAGTATGTTACAGTCCTATATGAAGACTCCTGCCTGGCTTGGGCATTTTTATACTACTTTTCTAGTATTCTGGTTTTATT